CATAAGATTTTTGCATGTAGTCCTTAAAAATCTCTTTTAAAATGAAACTAAAATTGTGTTTGTCCACTGTGTCCCCTGAGAAGGCCTACAAGTAATAAAAACAAGCACTCAGCTATCAACTACACTGTGGTTTCGAAATACCATTCTCCACTAAAAGAACCACGGCTCCTTAGAGAAATGGCTGATGCTGGGGCTGGCGCATAGGAAGTACAGGATTAGCCTGGAATATCTTCTTGAGCTAGAAAGTAAGAACTAAAAGGAATCATGAGACAATATGAGTCAGCTAGAAGGAACTACCACTGGCCAAAGCAGGGACGTTTCAAGTATCAAAAGAAATTATAACAATGAATTATAACCCACTGAATGAAAAATAAGAATTCACGAGTTCAAACTGATATATTTACCAATAGATAGATAGAAATAGATTGAAATAAAATTTAAAGTGGGGGAGAAGAGAAACTCTTCCTTATAGCAGAATGCCACCTAATAAATATAAAGAATGATGGCACTAGAAAAAAATCATCAAGGGATGCTAAAATAAATGAGCGATGGGTAAAAGTCTGAGGAGGAATAGGATATTTCTATAATCTCAAGCAACTCAACACAAATTACTTAAAAACTAGAGAAGAAAAAACAGTTACTTTTCAGAGGAAAACATGGTAGATACCACCTTAACCAAGTAATCAAAGTTAAAAATCACCACTATGGGACAACCAGCATCATGCGCCTCCAGATGTGATATGCTAAGGATGCAGCGTCAGTGGTGCACCTGCCAAAACTGTATAACCTGAATCTAATTATGTGGAAATATCAGATAAATGCAAATAGAGGGACATTCTATTCTTAAAGAATGTACTCGTAAGTCTTCAAAAAGGTCATGGTCAAGAAATATAAAGAAAGACTGAGGGATTATTTCAGATAAAGGGGTCTAAAGAGACGTGACAGATAAATGCATTCAGGATCCTGGGATGGACTCTGGGCAAGGACGATAAAAAGAAGCTTATGGTCTTTTATAAAGACAGTACTGAGACAGTTGTCAAGTGGCGAGTATGTTCTTTAGATGAGGTAATAATGCTTTATAAATACCGAAGTCTCTGATTTTGTTAACTATACTGTGGTTAAGTACAAGAATGTCTTTGTTTCTAGAAACGTGCACTGAAATATTACAGATAGAGGAGCATAATGTCTCCAATTTTCTCTCAAATATTTCAGAAAAATATGCAAGTATCTATAAAGACATGTAGAGAAAATTTGATAAAGCAAATGGGGCAAAATATAAACAATTGGTGAATATGAATACAAGGTATACAGGAGTTCCTTGTATTATTCTTGTAATTTTTCCTGTACGAAGTTGTGTCAAAAAAAAAAAGTGTCCTAGTTAAAATAGAAATTTAGAAAATGAAAAAGCCAGCACCTACAATCCCACCATTCCAACAAGTTTCCTATATTCATTTTTTTCATATTGCTCTTCTAGTCCTTATTTATGAGAACACATAGTTGTAATCATTACGTGAATATAATTTTTACTTCTAACTTTTAACTTTATATCATTTAGGCTTTTTACCTGCTGAGTTAAACTTCCAAGCTAATTCAATAATTTTCCATTAAAAAACAACAACAGACCAATCCAAATATTCCTCAGCCAAGGAATGGACAAACTGTGGTACATCCATACAAATGGAATACCACTCGGCAATAAAAAGAGACAATTTACTGATACACACAATAACAGGGATGAATCTGAAGTGTAATATGTTAAATGAAAGAAAGGCTTTTGATCCTATTCAGATGATATTATGGAAAGGGAAAATCATTTGGGCAGAAAACAGATCAGTTGTTGCCAGGAGCTGGAATGTAGGGAAAACAGTTGGTTATTAAGGTGAACAAGGAATTTGCTGAGGTGATGAAACTGTTCTGTATCTTGATTATGGTGATAGTTATGACTGTATGTTTGTCAAAATTTGCAGAACTGTGCACTAAAAAAGGGTGACTTCTACTGTGTGTAAATTGTACCTTAATTTAAAAATGGAAAAAACGAAACAAAAAGTTGGGTTTTAAAAAATAAGTTTTTTTAACAGATTACAGAATTCAAGTCTATCCTCTGTATCATAAAAGCTCCCCACTTATAGAAAACCAATAGGGTGTTATAATACAAAGTCAATACACATATTCAAAGTTGGTCTAAATGAAAGGGAAAAAAGTTTAATTGTAAATTAAACGCAACTGGTCATAATTCTTAAATATGACCTCTCCTCTTCATTTTCACGGTTCCCGTTGCAGCACTAAACATTTCTTATCCACACTACTATAATTGTCTCCTAAGGATCCCTGGCCTCTGTCTCTCTACTATTCAACTCAAAATGATGCCAGACTTATCTACCTTAAGCACAATATAATCACATGAAGTTTTGCTAAAACTTATATTCTGTAGGATAAGCTCCAAACTCCTTGGAATAGCATTTGCATCGTTTCAAAACCATGATCCAATCTACTGTTACCTACACACTAGACTGTCCTCTACCCAAGTATACACAAAAGAATCTACTCTCCACCCACACAGCACAGTCACTCACTAAACCTCCTTGTATTTTCAAATCTCTCCACCTATTTTCAAATCTCTGTACAGGCCTGGAATGCCCTTCCTTTATCCTTCTGCCAGGCAATCCTTGTCATCCCAGTTCAAGTTTATGTTCTTCAAAATAATTCCTTCCTGCCCAGGCTGGTGTGGTTCAATGGTTAGAGCACTGGTCATCGCATTGGCCCACATACCAAAGAATCACAGTATTGATTCTGGTCAAGAGCACCTACCTGGGTTGCAGGCTTGATCTCCGCCCTGTAGGGGCACCTGAGGGAGGCAACCAATTGATGTCTCTCTCTCACACATCAATGTTTCTCTCTCTCCCCTTCCCTCCTCCACTTCCACTCTCTCTCAAAAAAAAAAAAAAAATCAATGGAAAAAAATATCCTCAGGTAAGGATTAACAAAACAAAAAAAACCACAACAATAACAAAAAGTCCTACTTTTGGGTTTCTACAGCATTTTGAAAAAAAGTATGTCTACCTTTCCCACTTCCCCACATACTCAGAGGACCATACTCGGAAGCCTGCGCTAAACAAATCAGATCATGTGCTGTGAGTACCTTAAAATGACTTCATTTAAAATCAAACCACCTCATTCTAAAACTATATTTGCACCATCAGAGTTAGAATTGTTTCCCCAACTTTGGCTTCTGAAGTGAGTTATGTTTTTATCACTAAAACTATCAATATCTTTAAATATTTCAAACCAAAATTTTGTCATTAATATATTATCTGAATTTTTTTCTACTTCTGCCTTCCCAGAAATATCAATGTTACTGTGAACAATTCTATATCTCAATATTTAGGCTCTGAAAATAAAAAAACTGTGAATTCCATGTTTAAAATATAATTTATTGCCCCAAATTCATAAGCTTCTATTTTGAGCAAATTCAATAGCTACACTAATATTCACACTTTATAGTTTGGCTTTCACTGAGGGTTTTCAACTCCAAATTAGAACTGAATGGAATTTCAGAAGACAGTGCAGAACCAATGAATGAGATTTAGGAAGAAACTTAAAATTCAACTTCTTAACATCTTTTTATTTTATTTAATTCAAAAAACATTTAACCACTATGAGAGAGATCCTCAAAGGAGTGGGAGAAGTTAGTCACAGTCTTAGGCCTCAAGGATTTCATATAATAGAAGGGATAAAAACAAACTAGATATACTGCAACTAAGCCACAACTGGATAGGGACTCAAGAGGTCCAAAGTGCTGTGGATATTTAAAGGGAGATGGTACCTGAGATGGGCCTGAAAAGAAAGAATTTTTATGACAGAAATAGCATTCCAAGCAAAGAAAGAAGGTGAAAGGACAAAGCTGCTACACTCAAGAGCTTCTGTTAATGAAGCGTGTTACATATCCTTATAGAACCAAAGTGTGAATAAATAATTACCAAGAATTTCAGGAAAATAAAAAGAAACCAATTAGCGTTGAAAGCTACAGCAGAATTACTGAGAACAAGTGTGAAAACTAAAGACAAGGACATGTCACAATTTCGTAATCAGATCACTGTGGCCCTACCTGACCTCAGTGATGAGGTCAGAAGCTAGACTGTGAGATACTTCAGCATGGAAAAACAAAGGTGGCTCAATATAAAAAAAGACTCATCATGAAAAAGAAGACTTAAGGCAAGGAGAAAAACCTACTGTTTTAGAATACAGAAGACCTGGACATGTTTGCTGAAAGAGAGAAAAGAGCCAGTGGAAAAGCAAAGATAGGATACAAAAGGGAGAGGGTATACTTAGTTTTTGCAACAAAGTTACAGAAAGTTTTTGGAAAGAAAAGCATGCAAAGAGGAAAGCTGGGCCTTGGAAAGGAAGAGGGACTTTTTTTCTCTAGGAAAGAGAGGAGCACTTCAAGTTAGCTGAGGGATCCTGAAAAGCCTGGGGGCAAAAGTGCTTAGAGATTTGAGGAACACAGGCATTTGATAAGGAACAGGAAGAAAATCAGCAAGAGACAAATAAAAAGGATTCTAGCAACAGTGAGGGCTTAGCCGGATTAAGAAATGAATTTACAGAGGTCCAATCATTATGTTTGGTGACTTTCTCCAAACAACCTCAGAAGCCTGGGAAGCTACGGGGAGAAAGCAAACTGTGGAAAAGGAAACCAAAAAGTGACTTGCCTAAATTAAATCACTCAGGTTGGCAGGGCTGAGACAAGTACCCAGGTAGCTCCGGCTTCTGGTTCAGCACTCTCTTTTGACTATGCTGCCTCCTTTTTAAACAAAATTCTCCTAAGGCTGATTAAGTTTAAAGCTAATGGCCAGTTTTAAAGCTATGCTATTAAAACAATATAATGAAATACTTATTCTTTGAGTACTAAGACAAGAAAATTAGGGCTTTTTACATGTAAACGGTCATCAGCTGTGAAAAGTCAGAAGGATTCATTGACAAACAAAACCCAGAATGACACTTACCTGGCAGCTTCGGGAAACCCCATCTTGTAGATTGTGACAACTGCAGCTCCTCCAAGGCCTAAATTATGCTGCAGAGCAACCTTTGCACCAGGAACTTGTCTTTTCCCGGCTTCCCCTCTCAGCTGCCAGCAGAGCTCAGCGCACTGCGCCAGACCTAACAAATCGAACGCGGAGCAGTCAGACTCTGCCGCTTTAGAAAAGCTGCCCCAACAGCCAGCTTTCTTAAGCCAGACAAGGGCTAAGTAATGTTTAGTTGTGACTTTTAACTAAGGCATTTAATTAAGCCAAGATAATATTTGCTTAAATAACTTCTCTTAAAAATATTAATGGTTTTGCACCTAGTTTTCTTCTCTTAAGTAATCTCTCTATTTAGACAACAGGCAGGCTTAAGAAATTCTCTGCACTCTTTAAATTTATCCAACCTGTTGTTTTTCTGGACAGGTTGAAAGAGAAAACACTGAATATAAAGTTCTCTGGCCCAGCCAAAACAGCATAAAAATAATTTAACTAATTTTACCATTTTTATGTACCAGAAGAAAATAATCTAGAATTTGGGGGTTCATTTTCCCTAAACAATTTAGCTGGTATGGGGAATTTTCCTATTATTTTCCCCAAGTAGTTCACAAGAATGAATTGTTTTCCAAATCCATACATAGCTATTCACAACAATAGCTCTGGATTCACAAGAATAATTTTTTGTCCTCTGCATAATAAAATTGAAAGACTTTTAGAGCTGAAAAAAACTTAATCATGTAAACACTGAGAAACCATAAGATTAAGTAATTTGTGAACGGTCACCAAGCAGGCTAATTCCAGAGCACAGGTTAGAACCCAAGTCTCCTGATTTCCATTTGTTTATCTTTCTACCAGACCAGCTACTGGAGGGGAGCTGAGTTCAGAACATGCTATCAGGATAGACCAGTTTCCACCTTCCGGAGGCAGAGCTTCACGGGTGCATTTACAATGTGCATTCCTCCACCCACACCCCCAATCACAACTTCTGATTCCTGAGTGCCTGTGACAGTGTCCTATATAAACTGCAACCTCCTCAAGAAATGCCACTTCTCATTTCCAAGCAGTAGCTATAGATTTACAGAATATATATCTTAAACACTTTTAAAACAGGGAACTCCACACCCTGTAATAATTTTTTGAATTGGGAACATTTTGAGTATTAATTAGGAAAGTCAAAGTGAATGATGTTACAAATATATCCACATTTTGGGGCAATCAGTTTTACTAGAAATCTGCCATATAAAAAGCTTATAACAGGTAATAAACAGGTAATAAACATGCAAGACCAAAAAAGTATTCATACTGGTCTTATTACACATGAGTAGGGAAATACTGCCAGTTTTCTTCACAAAAGAATATACATAGTTTGCAAATATTTGAGGAAATATTCAACCTCACCCTGATCAAATCAAACAGAACGATACCATTTTTAACCAATCAAATTGGTACAGATATTTAGAAATGGGACTAATCATTCTGGGGAGCCTGTGGTGAGAGAGGGAGAAAGATGGGGGGAGGAAAGGGGAGGCAGGAGAGAGGGAGCGGGGCAGGGATTGGGGAGAAGGGAGGAAAGCAGGCAGGCAGAGAAGGGAAGCGGGAGGGAGGCGGGGAAGGAGGAGGAGCATATGAATAAATACTAGAAACATTTACAGATTTTACCATTTCTATCGCACCATACAACTGATACTGCAGAAGATGTGATACACTGGGATAAATCTCTACTCATGACTTGCCCAACTCACATAATGGCAAAAGAAGAAGAGAGGGAGAAAATAAACATCCATATTATCAACTCATTCCCTTGTAATTTATTTGCTTTTGACAAAAGATGACTGTTTGTGAGAAAACATACTGATGATTTGAGTTTTCTGGTTGTCTACCTTCAGAATAAACTGGTGTTTCTTGTATTTCTAAAACCTAGATCTGTGAGGAGTGGGAGTCAAAAGTTGGCCTCAGAACTCCACTTGCCAAGAAGACATGGCAGACAGATATAACAGCATAAACTATTTGAGCATATTTTTACAATTTTTTTCCTTCCCTGGGTAACTTCTGGCACTAAACCGAAAACCATAATTTTCCTCTGCTTAGAAAAAATAAACTATCAAACATGAATATATTTATAAATTGTGGATGGGGATAGGAATAGGCATCCTGTCAAATATATTCAAACAGTAATGCCCTTCTTACAGTCTCTTATAAAGGGGGGGAAAAATTTTAAACCTGATTACTTCATTTTACCACCATCTTGCTGTAAAAATTTCCTAACAAAATGGCCAATCTTTTTATATAAAAATAATGAACCTAGGACTCAACTATATAGATATATAGTCTAGTTGCTACTGAAAATAAACCATTCAAATATGTGTCAAGCACTCCACTAAGTACTGAAGATATAAAGAATTCACAGTGTAATATAAAGTGCTAATAAAGATAAGTAATAAGTGCTATGGAAAACCACAGAATGGAATCACTACAAGGTCTATTTCCTGAAGTCTTTTCTTTCTCCTGCTTCCCTGAACCCATAACTCTTCTTATACTTTTAAGACAGGCAAATACAAAGAAGCCATAATTCAGCTTTAATTTTAAATTAGACATCTAAAGGCATGGTGTTCTGGAGTCTGGCTTTTTGAAAAAGAAAAGGTTTGCTGAGATTCAAAGGGCAAAAAGCTTTAATGGACTTGGTATACAATGAAAGATGTGTATTTATGTAACAGCCATTTTTTCCTCCAAAAGCTGTAAAATTATCTACCTAGAACCCTACCAAATGTACAATACCATGCAAAAACAAAATATAAAGACATTTTCAGATATACAAAGCTGAAAGAATTTGTCACCATACTGCAACATCCACACTGTAAGAAATGTTAAAGGAAGTCCTTCAGACAGAAGAAAAATGATAGCAGATGGAAATATGGATTTACACAAAGGAATGAAGAGCCCTGGAAGGGGTAACTACATGGGTAAATACATAAGCTTTTTTTCTCATTGTTTAAGTGTCTTTAAAAGATAATTGTTAAAACAAAAACAATAATTTATTGTGGGGTTTATAACTTACAGGGTGTGGCAAAAGTAGATTTACAGTTGTTTGTACAGGAAATAAAACAGTAATTAATAAATAATACAAGAATAAACTGTGCTTCATGTACTCAAAACTGTAAACCTACTTTTGCGCCACCCTGTATGCAAAAGAAAAATTCACAACAACTGTATTATAAGGCCTGGACAAGAGATAGAGGTATGCTATTAGTGAAGTGGTATAATATCATTTGAAGATAGACTGTAATAAAATAAAGAAAAATGGACTCATAAAATAAACCCAAAAGGTGGCTTGGAAAAAGGAAATAAACAGCTGAGACTTGTAAGAAAACACAAATACAAGACAGATTCAAACTTAACCATATTACTAATCACATGAAATATAAATGATCTAAAATCCCAATTAAAGGCAGAGATTGTCAGAGTAGAGACAGAAAAAAAGCAACACCCAACTAAATGCTGGCAATGCGCTTTAAATATAAAGTCATAAATGGTTAGAAGTAAAAGGATGGAAAAAGACATACCATGTTAATACTAGTTAAAATTTGAAAGCTGAGGTAGCTATATTAAATGAGTCAAAGTACATTTCAGAGCAAAGACTTGTCAGGGAAAGAAGGCCATTTCATAATGATAAAGGGGAAAACATAAAACTGTCTTTATTATAGATGATTTGATTGTTTATATAGAAAACCTGATGGACTTTTTTAAAAGCTACTAGAATTAAGTGAGTTTTTGCAAGGCGTTGAAACGAATATTTAAAATTTTATTGTATTTCTACATACTAGTGTGCTGCAGAATTTTAGTAATTAATTTATGTGTGCCACAACATGAAAAAGGTTGAAAATCGCTGATCTAGGACACCAAGTATGTACATAAGGCTGGGTGTATGCCCAAGGCTGTGTGTATGCTTAGGAAAGACATGAGAAGGTCCTAAGTACTTACCTCTGGCTAACTTTGGGGCTCTGCAAAAAATAGGTATAATTTTGATTCATTCACATTGGATGGCTATTGTTGTGTTAGCTGTTGTCATTTTTCAGTTTGACAATCTAAGGGAAAAGAGGACAGTGCCCCTGACTAAGTAGTCAGGTACTGAGTATTTTAAACATTCTTGCAGTGCACCATTGTGCCTTGGCACACTAGTTGAAAATCGCTGTCCTAGATTCCCAGGAATATGTAACACCTTTTCAAAGCCTCCAATAAACATCTCATTGCCCAGATTTTTCTGTTAAGTTTTCTGGTTGGTTTGATGTTTTCCCCAATTGTTACTGACACCTCAGGCAGCTATCTTGTAAAATAGTTGTTGCTGATTATTCTTAACAAATGCCTCTGGGGAAAATACTGCATGCACATGAGGAGTTCTCAGTTAGGTTACATAAAGACAAGACTTTTGAGTAGGGTTTATTGGGAAACTGCCAGACAGGTCACATAACGATAAAACTTTGAGAATGGGGTTTTGAAAGAGCTCCAACTCCATTCTGACTAAGCTACTAACTTTCATGTGACATTACTGCAGGCTGTTGGTTTTCAAGGCTACCATGTGGCTGGGGAAAGGAGTATTCGAGAAAGTCAAAACGCCTCGAAGCTTGCTGTTCTTACAGAGATTTAGCTATTTGTTCTGTTGTTATCATTGTTTAGATTTTTTTCTTCAGCTATTTGTTTTTAATAAATATGGACTGTCCTAGATTGTTTAAGCCTTTGGTTAATTTCCAACGTTCTGAAAAAAGTTAATCTTGACAATTTTTGCCAGTGTTCTTGGTACTTTATTTTGCCACTCCCAATGATGTCACTCTCACTCTCATTTTTAAATTTCTCTGAAAGATATAGGCTGCTTAAAGCAATAATAGTATGTTGTGGCGTTTAAAATAAAATATATTTAGAAGTACATGTATGACAGTAACAGCACAGAGGATAAGAGGGAGGTAAATGGAAATATTCTGCTGTAAAAATCCCTTACATTTTATGTGAAGTGGTATAACATTATTTGAAGACAGACTGTGACAAATTAAAGATCATGTGTAAATCCTAGAGTAACACCATTAAAGAATAAGAAAAAGAAATAATCCAGTAGAAGAAAGAAAATAAAATACTAAAAATTACCCAATTAATAAAAAGATAGCATGAAAAACACAAAGGAACTAAAGAACAGACAAGACAGAAAACAAAAAGCAAGGTGGCACATTATATTGCAACTACCTGTGTATACTTACCTTACTATCTATCTCTCTTATTCTCCATCTATGTACATCTATTTTCTCTACTAAATTATAAGCTCACTAAATGTGAGTGATAAACAGAAATAAACCAAAATTAACTGCTATCATGAATACACTCTTAATTCTAGCATCTCTATTTTGGAATCTGAGAATTTATAAAACTTTAATCCATTCATATATAAGACAATATGGAAAAATATAAAACTCACCTATCTATATAAAAATAAGTCCCAGAATTTTAGTGCTAAGTTATTTTAGAAGTTTCTTTGTATAATGCCTTCATTTATAATTAAGGAAACTAAGTATCAAAGTGATTGAGTAACTGGTAATTAATCAAAATAGTCACATGGCCAGTCAGCAGTACAGCCATAATAAAATTCCTATTTCATAACTTCTAGTTTAGTTCTCTCAAAAAAAAAATTTCCTTGCAACACCAACCACATATATAACTATATATAATTAATGTGCTCATTTCAAATGATACATATCTAGCAGGTCCAGCCAGATCTCTATTTGGAAACATCTTGTTAGTTAAGTTGTACACCTATTTGAAAATAATCCAACTTTAAAAAGTATAAATTGTTGAATTTAGAATATCAGCTAATTCAAATTCTCATCAATTAATCAAGATCACTGATGTATACTGTACTTATAGAAAAATAAAAGTTACTGTGGCTAAACAATCATTTAAAGCACTGGCTACCAAGTTCAGAGAATACAATTTTTCATTCAAATCAATGACTCATCATTCACACTTATGCCAGATGATAACAAAATTGTGTGAACTCTCTGTGTAGTATTACCTGTAGCTCCTAGTGGGTGTCCCTTTGAAATCAATCCACCACTAGGATTTATGACCCACTTTCCTCCATAAGTATTATCTCCTCTATCAACCAGTTTTCCACCTTGTCCTATAGAAGAAAAAATACATTCACAAATGTTAAAAATAACATCGGAACAAATGATATGTTTTTTTAAACTTCAATAGAGCCAAGAATTTCTTACAGCAAACATTTCTTAACAGCTCAAACATCAAATTGATATAAGCATATCTAAAAGTTAGATAATAAATACTGAGCAATAAAGGCATATAATTTCAGAACATTTCCTACATGAAACAAAGCACCTACTAATTCCTAAGAGCTCTTTGACTTCCAAAATTGCTACAAATATAATAGAGAATCAGAGAACCAAAAGAAAAGAATTAAAATGGATACAATACTATAAATTATACCCACTTTAAAAATTCATAATTTTGCTAAAATGTTTTCATTTCCCTACATTTTCAACTGTATTCTCATACACTATGTAAATACTTTTTTTAAAATCCTCACCTGACGATATTTTTGTCCATTGCTTTTCAGAGAGAGAGAGAGAGAGAGAGAAACATCGACGTCAGAGAGACACTTCAATTGGTTGCCTCCTGCATGTGCCCTGACTGGGGCTGGGGATCGAGCCTGAAATCGAGTTATGTGCCCTTGACCAGAATCAAACCCAAGACCCTTCAGTCCTCAGGCCAACACTCTTAACCACTGAGCCAAACCACTGAGCCAAACTGGCTAGGGCTATATAAATATTCTTAATAAACAGGAAAGAGGGAGGGAGAGAGACAGAAAAAGAGTACTTTGTGAAATGAAGGGAAATGGCTGAAAAAATTGTTGACCCATAAATGTAAGCTTAAAAGAAAAAAATTATATCACATGATTAGCAACTTCAACATTCCTATAAATTCCCATGACATTCTTCTAGGTGGTAAAAAAGTAAATAAAAAGCATGCATTGTATAAAATATTCTTCCAGATGATATTTCTGATAAAGTAATGAGAAGTGAAATCTTGAAATAATGATGATAATGGTGGTTGTCAGAGGCAGCTAATAGCTGTTAAGCACTCACTCTGTGTCAGGCCTGTTCTAATTATTTTACATATATCTACATAACTTAATTCTCAAACCTATAAGATATAATTAATACATAACATTATATTAGTTTCAAGTGTATATCATAATGATTCCATAATTTGTCTATATTGAGAAATGATCACAATGAATCTGGTTAACATACATCCCCAAATGTAGTTACAAAATTTATTTTTCTTATGAGAATTTTTAAGATCTATATTCTTAGCAACTTTCAAATATACAAAACAGTATTATTAACTATAGTCACCATGTAATGTAGTTGTACATACTCCATGACATTTATTTTATAACTGGAAGTTTGTACAGTTTGATTCCCTTCATCCATTTTGCCTAGCCCCCCCCCCCC